GGTGAATACATCTCATATTACTGATTTACTGGTAGTCACGAAAACAATACTTAATTCAAAAAATAAATTAAATTCTCACTATGAGATGTATTTATCCAATTTAATTTAAGGTGAGGAAGTAGAATTTTTCTACAATGATATGAGTAAAGCTGATGTTTCCATGGAATTTCACATTGCTTTGCTTTCCCAAAAGTTGATCTCATCCAGTCCTTCATCAGCTTAAACGAAATTTGGTGAATACATCTCATACTACTGATTTACTGGTAGTCACGAAAACAATACTTAATTCGAAAAATAAAGTAAATTCTCAATATGAAATGTAATCACCCAATTTCGTTTAAGGATGAGAACAATTTTTGGTAAAGCAATGCTATGTGAAATTCAATGGAAACGTCAGTTCAACTTATATGATTGTTAGAAAATTCTTCTTTTACCCTTCCTTGATCACCTTAAACGAAATTGAGTGAATACATTTCAATATTATTTTCCACAGAATTTAGCATTCAGGCGCATGAACGATGTCAGCTTATAAGCAGGTTTTTGAGATTGGCAACAGTTTCCACCCTATTTTTCTTAAGGTGATGAAGGATTTGTTGTGGAATTTTCCCAGAATGCTATGAGTAGACTCTAGGCTTTTATTAAATTTTATATAGCTTTGTTTTCCCAAAGGATTTGTTTTTATGGTTTAATAAGTGTAGTTGCTAGTGACATGTGTGAGTCAGGTTAGGAAGCCACCAGTTGCCAGCAGTTACAACATTTTATGGTGATCAATGCTTCATTACTTGAAGAAATGACTAGAAAGTATATATGATTTTGTTGAGCTTAAGAGAGGGGAGTACACGAAGCTAAATATTTCTACAACCGTCACCAAGTCGACCAGTTGAATCGTCTTCTTCTCGTCAATGCCTTGGCATTATTTCCTTAACTTACGTGTAGTTTGACTCCATTTTCCCAACTTTAGCATGCTGTCAGGGAAACTTTGATGATACCACCCTGTCCTGAGTCCTCTTCCATGGTAACCATCATAATTTCTAGTCTCGGACCGTTCAATTGATGCATTTCCAGACGTTAAGCCGGCATCGTAGTTGACATTGTCAGAGATCCTTGCCAGTCTCCACTCCAAGCTATAACTCGTCAAAGGTACAGGTGAACTCCAGCCCTTGACCATCCTTCTGCTGAACACTTGGGGTATATCTACTTCAATCTTGGTACCATTGACTTTCTCATCTTCTTCATTGTCACAACTTCTAACCGGCCCTGTAGAGGAAGTTTCTTGATGCACATTCACACACTTGCTGCTGGTTTCTCAAAAATCAAAAGGGAGACTGCCAAAATAAAAAAAGGCACCCAATCTTGGTCTTCGTGCCCAATTTCAAGCCTCGATTCTTTGCAGTCAATATATTCCCAACTCGGTGCATCTTGAGTAGGAGTTACAGTCACTCTCGGTCACATAAGGTGATGAAAGACTAAGAATCGAAGCTTCCCACCATCACATGATTAAGCCTCAAGCTCTTATAAAATTCCACTTTGCTCTAGTTCGGACTGTTCTTCCGACCATAGTGGGACTCGAACCTGATTAGTATAGTATATTATCTCCTCAACTAATTTGCGTTTTGTGACAGATGTACCGTATTCAGCAAATCGGTTTGTTTTAGACTAACAGTTCTTAAAAGCATTGTTGTGTTTGCCTTACCTTTGACGAATGCGGCAACAAAACACTTCTAGTTGAAGATATATCATTTTAACGTAAGCCTCACACGAATAATTTCTAATGATTTTATGTTCATAGTAATCATGATCTTAAAAGGCATAACTTCAATTTTGTGGATATGATTTAACTAAAATTGCAAATATAACTATTAGCATATCTGCCCAACCTGCCGGATTTATTAACCGAAAACTCCCAAAAATTAAAAGTAATATTATTTTTCAATTTCATTCGAGGCATGATATTAGTTTCACTCAGATTGAATAGGAGTAGTGACAATCTTATCTTTGTCTGCCTGCTGATTAATGCCGAAATAGCCATCTCTGTATCTAACTAATGGCCTTCGAAGACCTCCTGACCGAATGCTCAGTTTGCGAAAACAATGACATAAAATGAATTTGTCTATGCAAGTGCATGCGAAAAAAAAGCAGCAGAACAAATTTTTGTCTTATTTTATGCCAGTAACGCCAATCATAACTATCTTTCGCTCCCTGTGGCAAAATTGAAAATTGTGGGATTTTTTGAATACTCGACGCTGATTTTGTGGTGCAAATTCACTTCGTTCTCGTCTTGGCAATGACTGGCGTGCCTACCGGATGTGGCTTACTTACTAAATAATGATTCGGCTTTATTTCGTTTCACGAGGAAATAAAATAAAAAGCAATTTTTTCATAATTTTTCGTATAGAAATTGAGATTCGAGACTTCCAGTAAATCAGTTAGATGAGATATTTTCACCTAATTTCATTTAAGGTGATGAAGGACCGGTAGTCGAATTTTCCCACAATGACATGAGAAGAGCTGACGTTTCCATTCAATTTCACACAGCCTTGCTTTCCCAAAAGTTGTTTTCATCCAGGCGCCAGTGGACTGCAGTTTTGACCTCATCTCGGTCTTATCAACACCCCTAGCGGGGGTCGAACTGTGATACGTCAGCATGTGAATTTGGCACGTTAACCACTCGGTCATATCGCCACGAGTGGCCTTGGGTCAAAGAGCATTCATTCTAAATCAAATCAA